CCAGAATTCCCCAGCCAGCATGCTGGCTGGGGATTTCTGGGAGTTGGAGTCCAGACATCTTAAAGTGGTCAAGGTTGAGAAACACTGCTCTAGCGATTAGCAATGCATCTACAGGTTGTATTTTTTTGCAGTAGGGAAGAAATGGACATATCTGACCAGGATTTGGAGCTTGCATCAATTTCATATTGTGAATCAGCTCTTCTTTTAACAGGTCACTTAATACAATCATTACATTATTTTAATTCTATACTGCGCCAATGTTCTTGGAATTGAATGCTTGTTCCTGGAACTGCAGATGTGTCTGCTTCCATATTTATTTTTAAGAAGTTCTCACAGTATCAGAGTACAGGTACCTCTAACAATTCTAGAAATCAAGACAGTCTACCATGGAGAAACTGGTATGTTTATTCTATTTTCTTTCTCAAAATGTAAACCTGGAGTCAGGCACCTGGTACAAGCCACAGCGTAGTCAAATGTGTCATGACCTCATTGCATAAACAGTGCCAATTGCAAAATACGTGTCATTTTTGTGATGATCTCATGATAAATATGGTGTCACCTGTCCCCCTCGCCCTCCCCCAGGAATAGCCCCGCCTGGGATCTAGTCAATACCTTCCAAAAAGCCTCCATGTCTGGTCTTGGTCCCTCTCTGAAGAAAGCCAAACTGATGCTTAATCCAAATTAGCCAGAAGAGTTTCGATCAGTCAAAAAGCTGATCAAGAACTTTTGGAGAAAAGGCAGGATGTAAACCTGATAAAGTAAGTAAATGCTTTCTCTGGCTTCTTTATCTATGCCACTTGCACCCCAGTCAGTCCAGCCTGCTCTGTATACAAGAGACTGGGTTAAAAAAGGCCTCTTGCAATAGATGAGAAACGTTCATTTCTGTTCTAAGAAGGAAGAGAAGCAGGACCCAGAAAATCGGAGGTTTTGCTTACGTACAGTGTCCTGAAACTGCTCCAGTCCATAAATTGCATCAGCCTTCTTCCCCCCGCCCCCGCCAAATATCTTTCTTGTCAAAATGCATTAGGAGACTGGAAATTGAACCCCAAACTCCTTTGTAGGTTTATCCCTCCAATGGCATGGGACCAGGTTATCTGAGGGACCGCCTCTCCCCAATTACATCTGCCCAACCCATCAGCACTGGGAGAGGGGGCACGCTGCGGGCCCTGTCGTCTAGGGACTTACACTTGGCAAGCCCCAGGAGACGGGCCTTGGTGCCCACCTAATGGAACATTCTCCCCCAAAAGAATGATAGTTATATAAGTGTAATAGAAATAAGTATATATGTACTTGAACAATATTTACATTAGGTAAGTGTATATAGAATTATAACTGTTAACTGCTATAACAATGCATTACACTGGGGGTTTTTTCTTTTCCTTTTTCTGTTCCATTTGTTCACTTTTTTTAAAGCACTTCTTATGCACTTTTTTTTAAACTGTATTTGCATGATAATTATTTTTGTGTTTCATTCCTTTTCTTTTTCTGTTATTATTTTTAAAGCAATAAATAAATGGACATTCTCCCCCCTGAAGTGAGGTTAACTCCATTCCTGTTAATGTTCTGGAAGTCCCTCGAGACCTGCCTGGGGGGCCCAGGGGACCGGTGATATTCTAAGACGGCTCTATCATTGGGGTTAATCTTTACTCTCTCCTGTGCCTGGTGGTCTGTATATTTTAATAATGATTGTTTATATTTTTAATAAAGATTGTTTTATATATTTATTGTTTTATTTAATTGTTGTACACCGCCCAGAGTCACTTCTTGTGAGATGGGTGGCCATATAAATTTGATAAATAAATTATACAACACTGTCCCCACCCCAAGGGCAAATAACAGCCTGCCCTAGCTTGCTGGCCCAGCACAGCTCGCTCACAAAAGGAAATGGCATTTCCCTGTTTTCTACCGCAAATAGCAAAAGGACAATGACTTTGTTACCGTAAGATACAAACCACAAACTCAGGCACGTGTAGTTCATCTGAGTGCAGGACTAAGGAATCAAGGGCACTCCGGATTTGCTGACGGTCCATACCAGAATCTTTCAGTGCTGGCTATTGCAGGAGGAAATAATTAATAAAGCAGTTTGGCCCAACAAAATAGCTACAGAGATGCATCCCTGTTTTTGCGTGTTTGTTTGTTTTGGTGTCTTCGAGTCAGTGTTGATTCCTGGCGACTGCCTGGACAAGTCCCTGCAGCTTTCTTGGCAAGATTTCGGAAGGGGTTTGCCCGGCCGCCGCCTTCTTCCCAGGGCTGAGAGAGGGACTGGCCCACGGTCACCCCGCTGGCCTCGGGCCTGAGCCAGGACTGGGACTCCCGGTCTCCCGGTTTCTAGCCTGGCACTTTAACCACTACACCAGACTGGCTCTTGAATCAATGGTTACCCCAGTGCAAAATGCAAATCGCTTACTAAGAGTGTGAAACCACAAACTCAGCGCCTATGTTCCGGAGAAGTCTACCCCTTGCAGACCCGTGACTGATACTCAAGGCTTGCTGACCACACGAATCAAAGGCTAAAAATACCGGGTTGCTTTGGATATGGGTTTGGGTGTGCTCGGTCACTAAGGCACCATACTGTCTTTCCCATAAAGAAGGCCATCACATAAGCTGCCTCTCCCCTCATTCTGTGGGCATAACTTTCTATTCTGTTCCCTGCCCAGCTCAATGAACTTGGCTCAAGTAGATTGGGTGGTCTCCACTGTCCATTGGGTCGGGGTAGTTCCCCCCCTTCACTATCCTGGCTGGGGTGCTGCAAAGTGGCGGCTCACAGTATCGGGGACCCCACAGGTTGCTTATCCCCCGCCTCATGCATGGTGGGAATCCAGCCTCCGTGGCTAATTTGGGGTCCCGCGTGCCATGGGAACCTAGAAAACAGGATCCATTATACCACGGCTCAGAATTAGGCCTAAGCGTATACCGTAGAAACGAGCCACACTGTTCAATCTCTGCAAGCCTGTAGGGTTAAAAAAAGTGAAAGTGAGGAAAAGCGAAGAAAGCGAAGAGAAGAAACTCCGCCGGGGAGTTAAAACGGGATCCTCCCGGATCTGCAACGCTCCATCCTCGCTCTCCCGCAGCCCACGCAACTTCGGAAACAAAAGGGAAGTTGGGACCTGCTTTGGACCAGAGAAAACGTCCCAGACCGCGGCGATTCACCCGCCACCAAGGACCGAGGGGCGCGGGGGAGC